GTATGCTAACCAGGGGTTTTAGGCCTTTCAGAAATGAAGGTCTGGGTCATAAACTGAGCAAGAAACTGAGACCAACCAGAATGCCAAATGAGGATGTGAGGAAATCCAGAATGGGTGATAGAAGAGGAAACCAATAGATAACAATTACAGTCTTGGGACCAACTGCAGCAGCGAGGGTTGTATTTGTCCTACTAACTCTCCTGTTTTAGGTCTTTTTTTTTAAGAAACTATAATCAGTTATCACCTTGAGAAATAAATGACAGGACAGGGTGAATATAATATTGGGCATGAGTGTATCAAAGCAGTGGAAGGGTGAATTCAAGCTGTCAATGCTTTCCCCCACATAACCTATTGGCATTTTTCATGTCTTAGCACACTGGCCCCACTTCCAAATGTCAGCACATGCAATTCTTTGCCTGAGGGGGTCTTTCTGGCAACTGGAGCTTTCTTTGTCCATATGTATAGTAAACCCTGAATACTAGAAAATTAATGTCCCTGGTGAGAAATTCTCAACCAATGACTGACAGGAGCTGGTAAATGTTAGCCAGCCAATAAGATGAGTCCAGTGATTTCCATCATCTCTGGTATTCATGCCACTCTCTGGTATTCATGCCACTCTCTCTCTCTCTCTCTCTCGCTCTCTCCCCCCCCCCCCCCCTTCCTCCCAGATTACTCTCTCTGGGGAAATCCAGCTACCATATCATAAAGACACTCTATGAAAAGATCCACGTGAGAAGGAACTGAGGTCTCTTGCAAGCAGCTATGTGAGTAGGCCACCTTGGAATTCCATCCTCCATTCTAGTTGAGCCTTTACATAATTTCATTTTGATTAAAACTACTTTTTAAAAAACACTGAGCCAACACTACTACCCAGCTAAGCTGCTGCCAAATTCGTCACCCACAGAAATTGTGAAATAATAAATGTTTGTTGGCCAAATAAATGTTTAGCCACCATGTTTGGCATAATTTATTGTGCAGCAATGAATAACTAATATAGTGGATAAATACCCCAATTTTCTCACCCTTCTAGAAGAATAACTCTAAGCTTGTGTTCTAATAGCTCCAGAGTTCTGCAGTAGGGTTAAGTTCCTGTTGTCCACAGGAGTAACTTTCTTTATAATGTACACTGTATTGGCTTTCTTCCCTTCCCTGTCTCAATTCCCCACATTCCTACTGGTGTTTCCTGAGATTTCTTCTCAAATAACTAGTTGCAGTCAAACGGATGCCTTGGGGTCTGCTTTTGGCAACCTTAACCTAAGACATTGTCCCAGCCAGATATGCATCTTTTTTTGACTTGAGATTTGCTGATACCACAAATAAATTTTCCAAAATTTATATATAAGTAATATATATAATGTATAATATATATCGAGAGAGAGAGAGAAGAAAATATGTATATACCAAGACATTGAGTAAAGGAAATGCAGTGAAGAGTGTGTACCATAATTCCTTTCCATATTTTTCTATACCTAGAAGTTTTACATAGCCATGATTATTCTGTATATTCAATTATTCACCCTTTCTTCCTGGTTCATTATTATATCATAAGTAGTTCAGAGTTTTTATACAGCCTTAAAGAACATCTTTTACCGGCTGTGTGGTAAGTAGGATTTCAAAGAATAGTCCCAAGATTCCAAGCACTGATCCCCAGAATCTTAAATGTGATGAAATGTCACTCTGATGATTATGTTGGGTTATATGGCAAATTGACTTTTGAAAAGGGAGATATCTAGATAGGCCTAGCCTGATCACATGAGACCTTAAAAGCACAAGACCTTTTTCTGGCGGCAGGAAAAGAAAGCAGAAGATGAAGCCAGAAAAATATTTTAAGTGACATGCTTGACATGCTATTGCTGGTTAGAAGACAGTGGGCATCATGTGAGAAGAAATGTAGGTGGTCTTAAGGAGCTCAGAGATGCTCTCAGCCCACAAACAGCAAGGGAATGGAAGATCTCAGTCCCACAGCTCCCACAGCTACAAGGTACAGAATTCTGACAATAATGGGAATAAACTTGGAAGAGGACTCTGAGCTCCACTTGAGAACTCAGCCTGTCAGCAGCTTGACTTTAGTCTTGTGATATCCTAAGCATAAAACCCAGCTGAGCCTGCCTGGACTTATGACCTACAGAACTGTAAGCTAACATATTGGTGTTTCAGTAATTTCTTATGCAGCAATAGAAACTAATACAGCTTTAAAATATTCAATTGATCATAACATATGTAATATTGTTGCCCATATTTTGCCCTAATGAACAATGTCATTATATGAACACCCCATACTCACCAAGTCCAAAGCCACTAAGTCTCATTTCTAGCCTGCAATTTTTTTGAATAAGAGTTCAGAAAATGGAATTATCAGGAAAAAGGAATATGAACATTTAATGGCCTTGTCAGATTGCTTTTCACCATGACTATGTCTATTCAAATTCCATCTCAAAAATTCATTTTATACATCAGAATGAAGAAGCACTTCTACCTCACCCAAAGAGAATTTTGTTTAATCTTTCTTTGATTCCAAAAAAAAGTATGTAATATATGACTGACTGTACCTTATGTTAACTTGGGGCAACCCTCACTTTTGATATCCAAATAAACTACAATCTGATTCTTCTGGTCAAGATGGCAGAATAGGGGTCCCCAGTGTCACTCTCTCCCACAAATCAACCAACTTACAACTATTAAAAAGCAGCAACAGCCAAGCTGGGGCCACTAGAGTTCAGAGGAAGAAGAGGAGAGACCTATGGAGTGCATGAAGGTGGGAGAAGCCATGATGAGAGAAAGAAAGAACTGTTCCAACCGTTTCGAGCCCCAGCTCTTTCCAGGATAGAGCTTCTGAGCGCACAGAGCAAGAGCTGGCAAAAGCCACATCTGTGCCCTACAGATGAAGTTGCTTGCAGGCAGCAGGGGAGCAAAGGGCCTTGGTGGCCTCCAGGCCAGCAAGACCGCTAACGAGGTTCCTGCGGACCCACATAGGGGCGAGGAACCACAACAACTGAAAAAACAGAGCCACTCAGACACCAGTGAGTCATCGCAAGGGACCAGAGCACAGCCTGTCCCGTGGGAAGTGTTTGGAGCACAGGTGGTGGGGGAGACGGGCCCATAGGGGGAAGCTGATCTGCCCTCCAATCTGCGTAGAACCACTCAGAGCAGACTGGTCAGGAATACAGAATTGCAGGGGGTGCAGTTTGATGAAAAGACTCAGGCCCACATCGGAGTTTCTACGCAACCCAGTTACACCAGATCTCATGAGAGCCAGAAGTATCTATAAAGTCAACCATTAAAACCTGAGCTACACAAAAAGCCTTCCCTAGGGAATTAGCAGTAAAGCCACAATTTAGCTCAACCACACAGCTCAAGTACGGGTCCCTACAGGAAGTTCCAAAGTAAGGAAAGGACAACAAATTTCTCCCAGCACAGAGTTTAAGTGATGGGAACAGCAAATAATCCAACAGAAAACTGAAAGAAAAAACAAAGTACTCACAATCAAAGACAAAGTTTGATATTAACTAGTAAAGGTCTCATGTCACCAAAGAACACCTATAACACCTAGAAGGACTGGAAGTCCCCTGGGCTACCAAGCCAAAAAGAGGGGAGGGCTGAAGGCATCAGCCATGTCCCCTGACACCTATAACCAGTCCCAAGGGTGGGGACCGAGGGCATCAGCCACACCCTTCCATACACACAACCACCCCAGCGATGACCACCGAGCCGCTGCAGGAAGTCCCCTGGGCTCTCCCGAGCCAAGGCAGTAGAGACCCAAGGGCCTCAGCCAAGGCCCCCCAATACACACGACCAGCCCAGAGACAGCCACCGAGCCACAGCAAGAAGCGCCCCGGGTTCCCGAGCTGGGGTGGTGGGGGGTGAGGGCTTTTGCCACACCCCCCTGACATATGCACCCAGCCTGGCAATGACCAAGCCACCGCTGGCAGCCCCCTGGTCTCCCCTGTGGGAATGAGGGGGGTGCCACAGGCCTCAATCCTGCCCCTCCTCCTTCCTCCTTCCATCTCACTTTCTTCCCCTTTCCCATCCCCCCTCCTTCCCAACTGCTCCACAACAACTTCATACAATGTAATAATAATAATAATAATAAACAAATAAATAAACTGCAATCTGAACTTCCACACTCTGGTCAGTTTTATCTTGTGTGGAGACAACCAGAACAATGATCATTTATTCTCTAAACCTAGCTGATGTAGGCTTTAGAATGTAACAAACTTCACTGAAAGAATGAAGACAACATAGAGGAATTACAAAGTAGGAAAGGAAAATCTTAAAATTGATTATAGATTTCTACTGTTCTTAATGCCATTGATGATGCCCATCTTAGGAATCCTGTACTGACTCTTCTTCCTCACCCTGAGCTGCCACCATGTCACTTATGCCTACTCTCCTTTCTCATCTTCCATAGATCCCCGCGATCCCACGCTTTCCAAGTCTAAAGCCCCTAAATCTCATTTCTAGCCTGCCTTATAAATTTCCAAAATATGTTAACATATTTATTTTTCTAGGATGCATGCACATGATGAAGATAGCCTTACAAAATTAATCAAAATACTTAACATCTCATTCTGAAGCATTTGCAACTGCATTTCTAAAGTTCAGAGTCTCCCCAAAGAAAATGAGTATCACCACAGTGATCTCTCCAAAGCAAAGAACCTACCCCACAGGTGAACTCCAACTTGCAGCCTTAGATCCACAAGATACAAATAGTTGTCAGGATTTCACCCTCCACAGACCAAGGGTAGAGAAATACTGAATTCCAGACCCAGAACCCCTGTCACATAACACCTGGCAAAAGTTCAAGATTAGAAGTGAAATGACTAACTTATATAAAGCTTGCTATGTGCTAGCACAGTTCTAAGATATACTATATAAATATACACACATATTAATTCACAACTCACAACAACCCTGTGAGGCAGGTGCTATTATTATTTCCATTTTATAGATGAGGAAACTAAACCGAAAAAAGATAAAGTGACTTACTTCACACCATCCAGTTAGGAAGTTGCAAACTCAAATCCAAACAGTCTGGTTTCAAAAACCCCACTCTTAACTCTCAGCAAACAAACACTCAAGAAATATAACTTCTCACTGCCATGGTAGCCTTTTGAATTTGGGGACAGCTGAAGAGGCCTCACGATCACTGTGTCTCTCACCGCACAGAGGTAAGAGGCAGAGTCTTGCGTCTCGAGCTCCTTCAGAATGAGGTAACTGTACCTATCAGACTGACTAAGGAATGAAGAAAACCGACCTCTCCTCTCCAAACCATCCAGAACACTGTAAGACAGAAATATGGGTGCTCCACCATCGAGTTGCTGGTACCAGGACAGCCCATTGAACCCAGATGTCCGGTACGTGCAGTTGACCTGGACAGAGGCTCCTTCCATAGCCATCAACTCAGTGGGCTGCTCAATGCTTTGTCCTGCAGAACCTGTAAGAAGACACGTGACTGTTACCAGGGCAGCCCTCCTGGGAGCCACAACACTATCAAAAATAATAGTTTCTGTGTGATCACAAAAGAACTGCCATTGATGGGGAACTTCCTTAGATAGGAATAAATGGTGGTGGTCGTAGCTGCAGCAACAGCAACAGGAGGACAGTTAGCAACTCATGAGCAAAATACGTATCAGGAAAGACTCTTTCATTACAAGCGCCAGAAGCTGCACTCATTTAGCTGGAAGAAAATCAGTTTGAAAACTCCCAGCCGCGTTTGCTATTAAGATGAGACTTACCTCCCATCTTCAGGGAAACATAAAGAAGAAAAAATCCCCACATCTGCTGCAGGACCTCACAGGCCAGGCACTGCATCCCAGTTCTCCAGCCACTAGAGTCTGCAGAAGGTAAACCCTCCGTGAGGGTGAGGCAGGGAAGCTCAATCTGGATGCAAAACCCAGAAGAAACACGTGGGGAGGAGCTCCTTTCTTGACGGGTGACTTTAAGCTTCCACTGGAGCAGCTATGGGTTCCCTCACAGGCGAGTCTTCACATGAACAGTTTCTACTAGCAAATCCACAGGTTTCAGTCCAAGTGATTCTGGTGAATATTGAAAAGAAATCTTCAGTTGTGCATAAAAAATAGAAAAGACACTAATAAGAATAACAGAAGGCAAAGGCAGAAGTGGTCAATTTCCCTATGCTAAGTGTTTCTCTTCTCAAGGCAGGAGAAAGTGAAAACAGGGGTGCAATTAGAGGTGGGTTATATACATATTGTGATTGTGCTTGTGTTATCGTCATCACTGTTGTATTTGTTTTTGGGACAAGGAAGAGATGGAAGAGTTTTTCAACTGTGTAAATTTATCTCCCAATAGGCAATCACGTATCAGAGATCAAAAGAGCTATAATACATACGGCTCTGTGTGTGTACATATATACGTGAATATAGAGGAAGAAATAGGAAAATAAAGAAAACAATATTTGTTACTTTGGAGGATTGACATTAAAGGGAGATAGTGAAAATACTAACATTTTCTTATACATCTCTGAAAAACCTATGTTTCAAACAATTTCCCAAGCGTTACAAAAGGAAGTTAACACCTTTTGACACAGTTTTCCCAAACTAATGGACCCCTCACATGTAATCCCTTTACTAAGGGAATTTAGATCCCTCACGAATCCTCTGGAACTTACTCCATGTAGCAGAATACAGCACTTGATTTTAATAAAGATGATACTGTCATCTTGTGGCCAGACGTACCATTACAACTTTACACACCCACAAACAAATCCCAAACTCTGAACATTTTCTTCCTTAGTAATGTAGTATTTAAAAGAACCTTAGAAATCACCCAGTCTTTGTCTAGTTTCATTATTGCACAGTGGAAGTTCTTGAAGCTTATAAAATAAAAAATGAAATGAAGCACTCCAGTCTTTATTTCTAGCCAATTTCCCAATATTACTTAGATAAACGTTATCTTTTGTAAAATAAAAAAATAGATTTCCAAAGCCACTTGCCCTGGCATATGCTATCTAGGCCTGTGTATGCATGTGAGAATCAATTTGATATAAAATGTACTCCAGGTAAGTTTAAACATGAGGTTCATATTTGAAATCACAGCTCTTTTTTCTGCCCACAGCATTTAATACATGTGGCAGTTTTCCATCGGCCAGCCCCATAATTGATTCAAAAGTATTTATTAAGAACCTACTATGTGCCACTGTGTTGAAGTGCTGGGAAGGCCACAGTGAGCAAAACTCCCTACTATGGAGCCCATATTCTAGGGAAGGAAGACAAGCAATAAACAAATAAATAAGTAAATACAGTATATCAGTGGTGTTAAGTGGTACTGAGAAAAATAAAATAGGGAAGGGGAAGGAGGGTCAAGAGATACTTCACTGGTTACATGACATCTGAACAGAAACCAGAGGGAGATGATGGAGAAATCCTGCTGAGTGTTTGCGGAGGGAAGGTGATCAGCTGAGATCTCATAACACCTCTAAGAAATTAGAAGTCATCCAGAATGATACTAACGAGGTTATTCCCCAAAGCCCCCTTTCCAGAAAACTTCTAGAAATGTTTCCTGCTCTCTCTCAAAACAAAATAATGAGGATTTGGGGAGAGAAGATCTCATTAGGGAAACACTTCAGAGTAGGATTTCCCTTGAGATTACAATTTTTTCTTCAAGTTTCATTTTTTTTTCTTTTAATTAGAGCTATGGAGGCAACAGCTGATGAAAACCAATGTAAAATATGACTCAAGACATACAGAAGACACTCTTGTGAAAGAGCCCTAAAAGGCAGGTGCACTTAGAGATTCTGAATACTCACTTGCGCAGCCAAGCTCAGAAAAGAATTCTACGGCCTTTCCAAAACAGATATGGGAGCTCTTTACAACGGGGCAGACTGACTGTCTGAGGGGATGCCCTCTCTCTGCTGGACCTCCACCCAGGGTCAGCCAGCCTCATGCCTGATTGTGCAGCTCTGTACATGTGAGTCTAATAGAACGGAAAAGCAGCCCTGAAACCAGCTCCATTCAAAGTAAGGGCATAAACTAATTTTGGAACGTTAAGACTTTCTGTTATTTTGTCCAAATGTTAGTTTAATCAGTCTCTATTCTCCATTTTATTCCTCGATTATAGTAGAATTATGTTCCTTCTTTCCAAACTCGAGAAATTTCTTTTTGTGTTAAGAAAATGACTTGAAAAAATCTTAACACTATTTTCTTTTCATTTTCTCTTTTTATTAGGGCAGTGATAAAGGGCAGAGTTGGGCAGTGATAATGGCATAGGGGTCATGAAGAAGATTCTTTGGTGATTGTGCAAACACAAGACAGGCCAAATTCATAACCTTTCCTTTCTCCAGTGAAGAGGTTCTAAGCACCTTTCCCTAAGCAAGCTCATTTTTGCTTAACATTTGATAGAAGCACAAGCACCTACCTTGTGGATTAGACATGTCTAGGCCACCCCCAATTCTATTCATTTCCCCCACTCTGCCCTAGGCCAGGGAATGGATGATGACAGAAGGTGAATCTTCTTTCCAGAAACAGATTTTGGTTGGGTCTCATCTCAAGGGTAAATAGAAATCCTTTAATCCTAGTTTATCCAACACAAGACTGAACCAGTCTTTATTCCTCATCTTCAGGATTTCATAATTATTCACTAGTAGTCCAGATCCCAAAGGTCACTGTAAACATCCAAACAAAGATTTAAATTGCTTTATGGTGGCTTGCTCTCCATGGAGAGCACGCAGAAAAGCACTTAAGAGCACTTCTGAGAGCACTAAATGGAAATGCACTCAAGAGATGTGCTCGCATCAAACTAGCCTGATTTGGGGCTGGGGAGAGGGTCCACAGAATGCAGCTCATCCTGTGATCCCATGATGCCATAGTGGTCCCTCAAAGGTGTTCTTGTCCTTACCTTCTCAATGTCACTCTTTTACCCAGAGCATCTCCTTAGAATTTCCAAGATAATTGCTTTTTTAAAATGTGTTTTTTACTCTCTTATTTTCAGATGCTTTTTATACTGAATTTTAACCCTTTGTTATTTTTATGTGCTTTGATTACTTAAATTCTGACCATTTTACAAGATGATTTTAACAACATCAAATATAGTCTAAACCTTGGGAAATTTTAGAATATTTTGGTTATCTAATTAGCCAGGGTAGATATATTAAAGTTGTTTTTAATTTCTTCAAACTCTTTAAGTTTGTCTCTTCCCTTACCTTAAACATCCTAAGTTTTAACAGCTAAAAAAAGGAGCAGACTTAAAGCATAATGACACGAAAAGCTAGAGGATGACAGAAGGGAAATGGGAGGACACTTGAATGTGACCTCTTCTTTTGTTTCTTCTAAGCTGGCCCCAGACTGTTGTCCTCTTTCATCAAGAGATCCAGTCCTTCTGCAAACATACTCCCTGTTTCCTCCAAAAATCCACCTTCTAGAAATCAAGATTGTCCTCCTCTGCAACCCTTAAACACCATACTCCAAGTTAAAACTACCGTTCTTTGCCAAGTCAGCCTGGAAAAGTAACCTGTCCTCAAACCGACCAGCTATAGCCCACCTCAGTTTCCTGAGTCCTAGTAAGACACCCAGAACCTAGAAGGATAAAAAGAGCTTTCTTCTAAAAGGGCACCTGGGAGAAATGAAATCAGACTTACGCACAACAAAAGAGGGGAAATCACATTGACAAAGCAGATAAATTAGGGAGAAACTTTTCCCTATACATAAACATGCATTATGATAATTCTCCAAATAATTGCCCCAGTGGTAAATTCCATCTGATTTGACATACAAAACTGGATTTTCCTAAAACATTTTATGAATATATCATTTGCCTAAGTGGAAGCACACTGATATTGTGTTTGTATCAACACAAAAAAGTTACTTTGACTCATAATTAGTATGATATGCATAATTTTAATACCAATTATTTCCATCTTTTCTCTGTATTCTAGCCCAAGAGATAAGAACGAGTCTTCCAGATAAATCAAGTTGCTCTCCTGAAACTTAGACAGTAAAAATCTGCTATTTCTTCTTTCTTTATGGCCAAAGGGCATGTTTAACACATTCCAAAGACCCTAAAGAGCCAAATATATTTATTATTATTATTATTATTAATAATAACCCTAAAATGTTAACATATGAATTAAGGTATTTTAGAGACGAATCAAGATAAAATCACTTTGGAGAATTCTCTGATGAAGATTAAATGGTTAAATGAATTAATATTCACATGTTATTTATAATTAATCTGTTAGTATGATAATTGCTTTCTGAAAATAGTCATTTAAATTACAAAAATACTTTATGATTAAATGACAAATGAGTGTATCTCAAACCCTAATGTGAGGGAAAAATCTTTATCTAAGAACCTACTCAACAAAAGGAGTGAAACAAACACATTTCATCTCTCTATCTTTTTTTATCATCTGGTTCAGGTACTTGAAAATCTTTAAAAGGTCTTTAGAGAGAGTTGCTGTATGGTAGACTGCAACTATATATATCACACACAAACACACTAAAGATCAAGTGCTGCATTAATCAGTGCCTTCATAACACAATAAAAATTTATCTGTAACCCCATACAAGAAATCCAGTCCCAAACCAATGGACCGTATAAATCAACCAAGAGATCTAAATAATATCCTGAGTAACAAAAACCAAGAATGATCCTTACAGTGTGTTATAATAAAACTAGACCCATATTGCATAATAAATGAGATGATCCCTTCCCCTAAAAGTCCAGCCAGGTGGGCACAAGGGTCAGAGAAACAAGATCAAGCACAGACACACTGTATCAGATCGGTAGGATAAGGCAACATCCATTCAACGGGCCATTTAGTCATTCAGATAATAATTATCACTTTTTCTGTGCTAAATGGGATGACTAATGGGGAGACAAATAAAAATTAGACAATGGCAATGTGATACATGCTTAGCAAAGTAAAAACATGGTTCTCAGGGATCTAAAAAGACTTTTTGAAGATGAGGGCCCCCAAACTGAATCCTGAAGAAAAAGTGGGCACCACCTAGGTGAAGGGAGCAGAAAAGGTAGCGTGTGCACAGATCCCAAGTTACAGCATGCGACTGTGAGAGCCCTGAGGAGTTCCATGCGTCAGAACACCATGAAGGAATTGCAAGGGGTGTAATGGGGTGGTAAATAAAGGCCAGAAAATGAATTTTTTTCATGTTGTTGTGCGGAGATAGGATTTTGGCTGAAGACAACAGGAAGGCATTGCAGTGATGGTTAAGTGGAGGAAAAAGTAGATGTTGTGACAGAGGGTACAGTATTTGCTCCACACTGCTCTGCAACAACCTTAGCCTCTCTTCAGTCAGTACCCTCAGAGTTATTGGTCCATTCCTATCACTCACATGTTCCCCTGGTTTTTGATTTTCCAAATCCTGCTTCTCAGTATCTACCAATGAATAACAGTTTCCATCCATCTAGGAAACTAGCCAGCCACTGGAGGGTTTCTCCCATCAAGTAACCCTAAATAACTAATGGTGATACCACCCCTTCTTTAAAAAAAAAAAAAAAAGGCACTATTCTGTTTATCTAACTCCTAGGCATTAATCATCAGACAAAAGCATTCTCTCACAACTTCGATGTGCTGTGTTTCTCTTCTCTGTCTCCACCATTCATCTTAGCAGACTACAGAAAGACATGGGAAACTCCAGAAACACCTCCCTGGACACCGTGGTGACAGATTTCATTCTCCTGGGCTTGTCTCACCCCCCGAACATGAAAACCCTCCTCTTTCTGGTCTTCCTCATCATCTACATCCTGACTCAGCTGGGGAACCTGCTCATTCTGCTCACGCTGTGGGCCGACCCGAAGCTCCATGCCCGCCCCATGTACGTCCTTCTGGGCGTGCTCTCGTTCCTGGACATGTGCCTCTCCTCAGTCATCGTTCCTCGGCTTATTTTGGATTTTACTCCTGCCAGCAAAGCTATCCCATTCGGTGGCTGTGTGGCTCAACTGTATTTCTTTCACTTTCTGGGCAGCACCCAGTGCTTTCTCTACACCTTGATGGCCTACGACAGGTATCTGGCAATATGCCAGCCCCTGCGCTACCCCGTGCTCATGAGTGGGAGGTTGTGCACAATCCTGGTGGCTGGAGCTTGGGTGGCCGGCTCCATCCATGGCTCTATCCAGGCCACCCTGACCTTCCGCCTGCCCTACTGTGGGCCCAACCAGGTGGATTACGTTTTTTGTGACATCCCTGCAGTGTTGCGACTGGCCTGTGCTGACACAACTGTCAATGAGCTTGTGACCTTTGTGGAAATTGGGGTGGTGGCTGCCAGTTGCTTCATGTTAATTCTTCTTTCCTACGCCAACATAGTCCATGTCATCCTGAAGATACACACTGCTGATGGGAGGTGCCGGGCCTTCTCCACCTGTGGTTCCCACGTCACCGTGGTCACGGTCTACTATGTCCCCTGTATTTTCATCTACCTTCGGCCAGGCTCCAAGAGTCCCCTGGATGGGGCAGTGGCTGTGTTTTACACTGTTGTCACTCCATTACTGAACCCCCTCATCTACACACTGAGGAACCAGGAAGTAAAGTCTGCTCTGAAGAAGATAATAGCAGGTCGAGGGACTATGAATGAACATAAGTAACTACAGGCTCAGGGACCACCCGCATCACCGTCACTACTACTCTTTTCAGCTACTGCTACATGTGACAAATGCTCAATAAACCGTTAATAATTTAAATTGAACTTAAGTCAGTTCTATTTGGAAGAAACTCTTGAACTCTTTGAACACATAATCTTTTCATCTCATTAAATTGGCTTAAATTGTTTTACATTATTTGTTTAGAAATAAATGGATACATTACATACCACCTCTGACTACCTTGCAAGAAAAGAAAATGCCTTATCAAATGTCAAATAGGATGAGAATGCATCAACTTCTTAGGAGGTATGTTATGCTAGAAAATTTGAAAGGGAAAAAATAGCATAATGATACCCTAATCCCTTTTTTTTATTATCTTCACCCCAATCCTAGAGCTCCATAAGTTCTGTGTTTCTTTGCTTGTTCATGGCATAAATATTCCCAAGCACTTGAACTTGAAAATTCTAGATTATGTTTCCTTCCGGTCCCTCAACCTCCCCATGCTAACATATCAAATTCTGTTTCCTTCACCTCTAGAATGTCTCCTTTGATTCCTAACTAGTCATTTGTCCTTTCCTCCTCTTCTACATCACAATCAAAGTCACCCTTCTGAAACACAGAAACTGCAGGATAACCCAAGGAATGTAGAATAAGGCCAGATTCCTTAATCTGGAATTCAAAGTCCAATACAGTATGGACCCAACATAACTTCTCTCCCAATACATCTCCACTTGTCTTCCCCTCTCACAGCCTTGCTGATTTAGTGCCATTCCTCGAGCATGCCCTAAACTTGCCTGCCGCTCTTCTGTTCAAGTTCTCCCCTCTGTCTAGAATATACCTTCTCCCTCTCCATGTTGACCAAATGAAGATTTATGCTTCCTTCAGATTCACATCGAACATTTCCATATTTGATTTTCCCAGTCAGGACTTAACTCCTCTACCCTTGCATTGCCATAGTCTCTTTATTATAGACCTTATCACAGTTTGTTATGTATTACAGTCAAGAATTCATCTCTCTTTCCACCCCAAATAGATTGTGAGTCCTCAAAGGACAAAAAGCATTTATTTGTGTTTGTGTCTGCCCCTTTTCCCTAATAACTAGGAGCAGACACAGAAATCAATGTCCGTTGCTGAATTGAAACAGCACCAGAACAGACTCTTAAAATGTATCTTAAGCAAAACAAAGATGTTATTGTCAGTTATCCCCCTGTTACCTTTCCTGGTCTTACCTGGAAAAACAAGAGAACATTTAAAAGAAACTGGAAACAGAAAATCCAAGTACATGGCAGTCTGAAAGCACGTATGGACAGTTCCTTGGTGAATAAATGAAGACAAGGTAAAAGTATTCTTTCATTTGCTGACATATTGTTTATTTCTTTGGGAGTGTGGTGTCACGCTGGCCCATTTTAACAGTGAAATGAAAACAAAGGATTTTGGATGTTTTATTTTCCATGCTGTGGAAGACCTCCCTTAATCTTCATTTTTGGTCCTCATTGCTAAGAAGAGCTACTGAAAAGGTCATAATACTACAGTTCAGAAGACAGGAACAGAGCAGGGCCGGCCCGTGGCTCACTTGGGAGAGTGCGATGCTGATAACACCAAGGCCACGGGTTCAGATCTCTATATAAGGATGGCCGGTTCACTCACTGGCTGAGCGTGGTGCTGACAATGCCAAGTCAAGGTTTAAAATCCCCTTACCAGTCATCTTTAAAATAAAAAAAAGAAGAAGAAGACAGGAACAGAGCTAAGTAATAGAGAAAATGCCTCCTCTTGAAACAGATGTAGCGCCAGAAATAGAAGCTATAGAAAAGTTTAGGAATTGTATAACAAAGGAGTTAACAAACTATCCACAGTGTTAGAGAAGGAATGGGCAGAAAGCTTGAAAAGTATCAGGGAGTTGAGAGAGTTGATAAAAAGAAGGTACAAGCTGGATTGTCTACAAAATCAAATTACTGAAGTAAATGCTAAACAAGAGAAAGTCTCACAGAATGCGGAGAAAAGGGGAAAGAAAATCAAGATAAGAAAAAAGGATGGCCGGCCCTGTGGCTCACTTGGGAGAGTGCAGTGCTGATAACACCAAGGCCATGGGTTCTTATCTATAAAAAATAAAAGAAAAGAAAAAGAAAAAAGGAGAAAAAGAGAGACCTAGAGGTCTGGTCCAGGTGATACAATGTACACATAATAAGAATACCCAAAACAGAGGACAAAGCAAACGGAGCAGAAACAGTAATTAAGGAACTAACTGAAAAAAATTTTCCAGAGTTGAAGCACAAACTAGATCTACAAATGGAAAAAGTGTACAGGGTACCTTTAAAATTTGTTGAAAAGCAGGCAACCCCTAGACATATTCTGCTGATGTTTTTAAATTTCAAGGATAAAGAGAAAATTCTACAAGTATCCATACAGAAAAAGCAAGTTACCTATAAAGGGGCAAAAGTCAGGCTGACCTCATATTTTTCTCTTACAACTCTAAATGACAGATGACAATGGAACAATATCTACAGAGTTTAAAGGGAAAATAATTTTGAGCCAAGAATTACATACCCTGCCAAGTTATCACTTCTGTACGAGGGCAACTGGAAGACATTCTCAAATATGCAGAGGTTAAGAAAGTATGTCAACCAAGAAACTTCCCTGAAAAGTTTGCTAAATGATTTATTGCAGCAAACAACATGAACTGAAGTAACTCAAGAGCAGGAAGGCAATTGTATGAAAGAATTAATGTTTTTCAGTTAGCCTGGAGTTGCAAACTTGAGGTGAGACATACACTATCCAGATCCCAAGAAACCAGAGAAGACATTAATTAAGCTATACTGATTCCACCGTGAGGTTCATCAAAATCCAGCAGAACCCCAAGATAACATAAAGGATGGGAACAGAAACCAGACAAAGCCTCGGCAAGAGCTTGTACCTAACACCTTGCTCGGAGCCCCCCCACAGCTCACATCCCCCTCCCTCCTGCTTTTCACTTCCCACATTACAATCCCTCAACCCCCTCTTAAAAACCCCTCAGTGAATCTGAGCATTTGAGATGCTTTTAGTATGGCAATTCTCCATCAGGTTTACTGGAGAGATGAGTTTGCCTAACACCTCTCCTCGGGTCACTGGCATTCCTGAATGAATGATGACCTCCTATTCCACAAAAAAAAAAAAAAAGAAAGAAAGAAAGAAAGAAAAGAAAGGCATGAAAAGACTCAAAATTCATAAATATAAAAATATATTAATATGGATATAAGAATCACACTGTGCTATGCAAAAAGGCCATAATATCAGGAGGGATACATATTATACAATATGAGATAAAGGCAATACAGGATCCTCAATAATTTGTTAAGTTCAAAGCAGCTAAGTCACCAAAAATTGCCAACTGGACATTTGAAAAATATCAGTTTAAGTGGAATCCAGAAGTCAGTGACAGGTTTGACAATTCTGTTACGTGGCACTTAAGCTTATTTGTCATATTGTTGTTGTTAGAACAGATAAGATCTTAAGATCATATGAAGTTCATCCAGAAAATGTAACTACTCTTAGGGTTATATATATATGAAAGTTAAGTTCATCAAGAACTAATCTTAAGGGATACAAAGTGATTGTGTGGTACAGAGCTGTTAGCAGGAACTCATCTAGCTTCAACATAAAGAAAGTATGAGTCAGAAACATGAAACCAGTTCAAACTTGAAACAATGTAAATAAACACGAGGCTACACCTGTTCTTACTTCTGTTAGCTGTGTAAAACCTGGACCCCTTCATTTCAACGGCTTTCTTCCTGGGATCTATTCCCACCTCCTTTTCCACAACCCCTTATTTTTTCCTTCTTTATTCCATGTACTTTCAGATCACTTTAAGATAACTTCCATTCACCTAAAGGAACTAAAGGAACTAATTAAACTAAGTCATGCTAAATATAAAGGATTGATGGGTCACTTAACTTCCAAGGGTATTTGGCCATCAATTACAGATGATCAGTGAAAGGTAGCTTTACTTCAGTGACCCGGAGTTTTAGTGGGCTAAAGAAACTACCTGATAAACTTTCAGCATATCTACCCATTTCAGAAAGAAATCATTATGGGCCGGCCCGGTGGCGCACTGCTACAGTGCGCCGCTTGGGAGCGCGGCAGCGCTCCCGCCGAGGGTTCGGATCCCACATGCAGACCGGTTCCCGCTCACTGGCTGAGCGAGATGTGGGCGCAACACGGAGGGTTGCGATCCCGTTGCCAGTCCCGGTCCGGTGCGGGCGCGACACTGAGGGTTGCGATCCGTTGCTGGACACGAAAAAAAAAAAAAGAAAGAAAGAAATCATTATGGAAAGAAAAGAGTACACCTTTTAGAGTCTATGAACAGAATCTAGATTCTTCCATCAACTAGATATGTGTTCTTGAGCAAATTAAATATCCCTTATGAACCCTGGCTGTTTTGTATGTAAAATAAGGATAATAAGACTTACTTCAAAGGGACTTGCTGTGGATTGGTTGAATTGTGTCCCCCAAAGTCCATGTATTAGAAGCTTAATTCCCACTGTAACTGTTGAGGGTAGAAAATCCTATTATGGTAATTGAAAGATGGAGCCTTAAAGAGGTGAATAGATTGTAGGACTATGCTTAGTGAATGGATTAATAATGGTGGTCATGGGCGTGGTTCTGTGGACTTTAATAGCAGAGCATCTGAGAGTCTCTCTCTCTCTGCTCTGCCATTTTCTGCCACGTGAGACCCCCTGCTGTAAAGTCACCACCAAGAAGACCCTCACCAGATGTGTTCCCTGGACTTTGGACTTTCCAACCTCTGAAACTGTAAACAATAAATTTCATTTTCTTACAAAGTACTCAGTTCTCTGTGTTCTGTTATAAGCAATAGAAACCAATAGAAATTTATAATACAGGGATGTTGACAGCACTGGATGAAATTTCTAATGTAAAGTTTCTGAAGCATGATAGACACTTAATAAACGGTTGCTAAAATCATCACCCTCATTATCATTATCCAGGATTTAAAGAAGGGTTTGTCTTAAGAGATGAATAGGAGATCATAAAAGAGTGTGGATACAGGAAATATTTTGTGATGAAG